CTTTCTTTATTATGTCAAGGATCCTTCTCTGCCGCCAGATTGGAATCTTCTGAATACTCACGCCCCACCTGGTACCATTGATGGTACATCACCACTCTGACACCAATCCACTGGGCTAAATGCGATCCCCCTCGTTTGAGCCCTTACCGGGTCAGCCTTCACATACCCGTGTTCGAATCCAATTAATCACTTCTTAGTGACCAGATGGGTCGGGTCAAACCCATCGTCCGTCCACTCTGAGTTGATACTTGAATAGGGTCCCTTCTCTTTCTTCTTTTGTGGAGAAGGTGAGCAGAACTGTTTGGAGGAGATCCCTATTCCCTACCAGAAGCCATCAAAAGGAATCAGAGGTTTATACAGGCAGACACACTGTATAAACCTAGCTACTGATTCAAAATTCTGCTTCCATGTTTTTCGACTGGGACGACTGACTGCTTTAATGGGCCATCACCCCACCCATTTGAACGAAATGAGCTCCAGCTTTTGTTACACAAAAATGCCACCAATTCTGGAATATGTGCTTGCTTTATCACCTTCCGGGTCACACATCTTCCTTTCTTTTGTAAATCTTCACAAGGACAACACTCATCCGACGGTCCTGATCACCCCCATCTGTTTCCTGGGCTCCAACTGTTTTTGCCTTTGCCCCCACTAAATTGGCTGTCCATTCCAAGCTTTTTAAAATTCCGAAATATCGGCCATTTCGGATCCTGGTCTCTCTTAATCTTTCCAAAAGCTTACGTGCATGCAATAAATGGAAATTTTCTAAAATTTTAGACGGAACTCCGAAATTTCGACAATGTGATTTTAGATAGAGTAAGGCCTCGAGGAAGAACTGAAAAGCGTGAAACGCAGTTTCCCGCGTGCATAACGTAGCATTGAACGAAAAGTTCACATTGTCGGTTTTTAGTTTTTCCGGCACGTTCACACGAGTTTTGTTTTGTTTTTTGTTTTTTGTTTTTTTTTTTTTTTTCGGAAAGCCTGTTAAGCCTGTTTGATTCTTGAGCTGTAGAAGGATGAGAATGGAAATTAAGAAAAAGAAAAATCTCTGCTAATTAGACATGTCATTATCATCTTCGTTTCTTTTTAGAGATCCGCTAAGAAAAAGCCGAGATACAAACATTTCAGAATAAACTAAATTAAGGAAAAAGAAAGCTTCGACTTCATTCATTTACTCACTCTTTCTCCGTTTAGTTTTGACGGAGATAATTAGTTAGAACCTCATATACTTAAGATATTAAAAACAAAACAAAACTGAAAAAACTACTGAAACTATATATCCCGCCACTAACAAAATTTGCCGACGAATCGACAAGACGACGACGGAACTGTTTCCTTTATGGGAGAATTTCTCAGAGAACAACGAGGGGATCGGATGCAAATATATCACCGATTTCCTCAAAGTAATCGTCTACGTGCCATGTCGTTGACGAGAACGATCCAAAATCATCATTTGAACTCAGAAACATATCACCAAAATCTTCCTTGATATGGCTATCCGGCAAGCTCGTGTCATACTGATACAGTTCCGCCGGAGTTTGAAAAGTAAGAAAGTCGTCTAGGAACGGTGTTTCTAGTGGCAAAAGCTCACTAAAGCCATCCGGTAAACACGTTTCATCATGAACTTCCTTAATGGGTTCTTGCCGGTTTTGAGACTCGGATTCTTCACTGGAAGGTGAAGAGAACCGAAGAACAGATGTTGGAGATGAAAGATTGTGTGACTCCTCGCCGGAATCGTAGCCAGAACTGGTTGGTACTTGTATCTCCTGCTTAGCTTTTGGCGGAGTAGCGAAGTTCGTCATTGCATCTGGTCCTCTCAACTGAATCGCTGCATTGTCGTAAACCTTGGCTGCTTCCTCGGCGGTGTCGTAAGTTCCCAGCCACAAGCGTACACCCCGTGCGGGGTCTCGAATCTCAGCAGCCCATTTTCCCCATGGTCGTTGCCGTACTCCGCGGAACTTCTTTCCGTTTGATGAAGAGAGATTTAAGGGGCGCCGGTTAGACTGAATGTTTTCTCCTCCGGCTGATTTTTTCCGCCCGTTCCGAACGGATTTACTTCTCCAACCACCATTCGCGATATCGTTATCTGTAGAGCAAGATTCAATACTGATCTCGTTGACGTACCTTTTCACTCTGTGACGGCCAAAAAACTCGTCTTCGTCGCTAGACGAGTCCGTCGCGTCGGCGTCGGTAAAAGAAATTCGAACAACTTTCGGCCTGTCAGTAGCATTCACTTCCGACGGATTATTTCTATGCCTCATCGATGATGGCTTCAGGAACTTTTTAGTTAGCTGACGGTGCTCTGTATATTTAACTGGAGAGAAGAAGTTATGCTCCATTGATAGCGACTTTGGATCTCTCTACTCTACTTGCATTGAAAACAAAAGATAGGTGGGGGAACGCAGAACGGGATGTGGCCGTGTGGGAGGAGAAAGCAAGAAATAGGCTCGAAAAGACAGATTCTTTTGAGACTAGACACGAGGAGAATAAAGAGGAACGTTAAGATCGACCAATGAAATAATCTAATAAAAAACAGGACGAGAAATTTCAAGGAAAGTCTAATCCTTGAGAAGAAGCGGATTAATCAAGGATAAATCTTTAACAAAGCTGACGAAAGGATAAGAACATGAGCCGATAGAAAGATGCACAGAAACTAACAGCAGAAACAGCGGGAAGAGAATAACCGGTAGTCACAGTAACGTAAGAGAGAGTAGGATAGAGGGAATACTGAGAGATTTCCAAGAAAGTCACAGAGAGCTCAGAACAAGAAGTATAAAAACGTTTTTACCGGGAAAAGGAGAGAGAGAATAACTAGAAAATCGCCATAGTTGGAAAAACTGATGCAACTTTTACAACTGAAACAGTACAAGGTACCATCTCCCGTGTTTGTCGTCGGAGAACTTTCTTTCCTGAAGCAGAGGGACTAAGCGAAAGGAGAAATGTGCAGAGGCCGAACTCCGAAGGAGATAGAAAGAGAACAAAGAGTTCAAGTTGCGGTGGAGAGACCGAAACACTGAATTTGCTGCTTTATAGGATCTCCAACAGCCGATATCGGTGAAACCGGAGTACAGCGGTATTTCTTTAATTAATTTCATTCCTATCTTTCTATTTTCCAATCTCTTTATCATTTCCTATTATTTTAAATTCGAAGAAAAAATCTGATTCAATCAATTAATTAATGAAGCGGTGGGCCATACCCACCACGTCATCGAAGACGAAGGGTGAAGAATCAGAAGAAGACTCAGAACTGAGAGGAGAGAAGACCCTCCCTGGAATCCTCCTACACTACACGGTATGCCGCATTCGGTGTGTGTTTCAATCTTCGATGTGTCTGTCTGGTGACTAGGATAAAAATACTTTATTTACGAGATGAGTCGCGAAAATACCGAGTCACGTGACAGGAGAACCGATTCCCGTAAATATAAAGTCGGTCAAATCGTTGGGCTACCCACCAACGCAACAAATAACCATTTGACTGACTCAAAACACTTTTATTTTATTTATTTATTTTTTAATCTTTAGTTCTGAGGCTAATTACGCCTACTGGTCTCCATAGACTTATAGCTGCGCAGGGGTAGTTTCGTCTTTCAAGATTGTAAACCGTTATTTTGTTGCCATTATTTTTTTACTGTTTTACTGTTTTAACCCTTTCTAAGTTTCTATTTGCCTCGCTCCGTGTATGTTTTTTACTTTCATCCCATTTGACAGTTAAGATTTACCTGGAGCCTAGAATTTGGCGCCCGTCTTATAAGTTAGTTTTGTACGTTGTCTGTCCCTGGTGCAGTTTCTTACCATCCTTCACCACTTGGTACTTCTGCCTCTTTTGAGAAGTGAGAACCCACGTAAGTATAAGGAAAGGAAAAAAACACCCACATGCCATCCGTACATGTCACCTGTTTTCATCTGACCACTGAATTCGTAGACCACTATGTTTTTGACTTGGAATCAAATGGGTCCTGTGATCCACACTTGAGGCTATGATCCCGATTTTATCCGTTGCGGTACGATTTACGGCTCCGATTACGTGGTGCCACTAACGTTGATGGAACACGGTTTACTGTGCTCTGCTCTCCGATCCGTGGTGCAGATGTAAGTTAAGCTCGATAAATCTCGGTTGCAAGTACAATCATTTGCGCGGGAAAAACACAAAGCTCAGTTTGGAAACAATTTATACACGGGTGTAAACGGATCGAATTCGAATCGGATAAGGCAACATCAGAATTCGAATCCGATTAGAAAATTCGATTCGATATCTGATGGATATTGAAAATTAATATTCGAATTCGAATTTGATTAATTAATTATTTTATATAATTAATAAATATATAAAATAAATATTTATTTGATATAAAGTATATAAATTATATAAAATATTTTATATAAGAATTAAATAATCAGTCGAGTTTGGATATTTATCGAATCGAATCAGATCATATCCGAATTCAAATCGAATTAACTATCCGGTAAGAAAAGAATATCCAAATTCGACCGATTAGATATTCGAATTATCTGAATTCGATTCGATTATGTTGAATATCGAATTCGAAATTGGATTTTCGAATACTGTTGACACCCCTATATATATATAAAATAATACAAAACACACATTGAGCCTAATGGTCAAGAATCAAAAATGTAGGCGATGCTTGGCAAGTTTCTTTCTCGTTTTCTTTAGACATTCAATCATTGCATAGGTGTATGGGAGTTGATGTTGTGAAAATAAAATGAATCTATTGTGAAATGTCCAAAAAAAATTCATAAATCCACATTTTATATAAACGTTTAAATTCTCTAAAATGTAATTAGAAAACCTAAATTTTTCGAATACGGTGCATGTGAGGTCCATTGACAATACTATAAAAGTATAAATAGATTTTAGTTATTAGAGTTTAGTTTGAGTGCGCTAGGGTTTCTTCGCTAGAGGCGCTCTCAAAGGGATTTCGTTGGGGGCGGCTCCCTCCACCTTCCTCCTTCTGGTTTCTCTCACTCCTCCCTCTCTCTCTATTTTGAGAGAGCCTCCCTCTCAACTTTTCTTGAGGTTTTTCTCTTAAGTTTTCTCAAGGTTATGTTTTCTCTGTTCATGGTTTGATTCTATTCGAGGTTCTCGCTCAAGCTCGTTGTCCGCAAGCGAAGGCAGTCTTAAGGTTTTCTCCTCTATCAGTTCACGGATCTCCAACAATTGCTATTCATGATGAGTCCCGTTCACGGTTCTCTAATTATGCTGCTCATAGTGAGTTTCTGATGATGGCAGTCTTTTGGATTTCCCCTCTATCAGCTTTGTTTGCAATCTGTGGTGGACTGGTGGATTGGAGATGTGTTTGTTTTTCTTCTGTTGGTGATTTGACCTCACCGTTTTCTCGTTTGCAGAAGATCTTTTGATCCTCCTTCATCCATTGTCTTATTTTGTTCTCTTGAGAAATTGTTCCTGGGTTTTCTGATTGGCCTCATCGGCCTTTTTTCGTATCAATTTCTTGATTGAATGAAATATGATGCTTATGAGCAATTTAAAAAAAAAAAAATTGGAGTTTAGTTTGTGATTCCATATTTGGAGAGACACCAAATAATTCTATATATTCTTTTTGAGAAAAATCTACCATGACCGTGATTGATTCTAATAAAACACGACGTGTTTGAAATAAAAAATTAGTTGATATGATGTCTTGGTATGTGTTTGGTATCAATGTTGTAGATATAGCACCGTTTTTGGAAAAAGCGATGCCTTTTTTCTGTTTGGAAATGTTGCTGCCAAGTAGGACGTTTTCTAGAGAAACAACAACCTTTTTTATTTGGTATCAGTGATCCATGTCTATTTTCAGCACTAATACCCACTATAAGAATTCCATATCACCACCACATCACGTACCCGTAGCAGCAACAAGTTGCAATATGACAAAACGCCAATTTTAACGTTGCTCCAAACCACGCATTCTCCATTTCCAAAGCATGGCTTGGAGCACCATTTCTTATGAAAAAATGATTCTAAATAAATAGGTATTTCATTGAACACCGTTTTTTCTAACGTAACACTGGAGCAACGGCATCGATGCTAAATGGATGCTTAAATTTTGATGTATCGGCATTTCATTGCTGATTGTTTGTGAGTTGTAAGTATGGTTGCGGCAGAATTTTTTCTTTCGTTGTGCTGCAACGTAACTATAGTTACATCGAGAGGTCACTATTCACTAAGGATTGCTGCAATTATAATTACAGCAGATATGCGAATTTTAAGTCAAACACTTTTTGGTTTAGTAACGGAACGTATTTTTGGTAAATTTGTGGTATTCATTGATTAATTTCTATTTATGAAAATTGGGTGGGATTTGGGCGAATAGGCTGAGATAAACTCTTTTGTTGTTGGTGTCTTTCGGGTTACCAAACACGTTTTGACTTAAATAGCCAATAATATGAAATAAATGCCCCAGGGAAGAAATAATTTACGTTACATATAGAAGGCATAGAAGAGGCCAGGCATCATTAGAGCAATAATTGTAATAATTATAAGAGGAAGAGGGCAACTTTTAAGGTGGAAAGTGTAAAATTTATTTTAGGCATTTTATTCTTCGGTAGTATATTTGAGTACAACCCCGTATTGTATTTTCTGGACAATTTATGCAACGGATCCCGCCTTGGCTGCAGGGAGAGAAGTATCGGAGAGTTGCATAAATAACACTTCAGATCGGGTCATTTGCTACTAGTAGGGGTAGATATGAACCGAGCTTCTTATGAGTTATTTAAGTTCGGTTCATGAAAAGCTTGGCTCAGTTTGATTTTAATTGAATTTTGAGTCAAGTTCGAGCCTGATATATAGGTTCATTTGTTAATCGAACCAAGCTCAAGTCTAATGAAACTTGGCTCATGAGGCTTGTGAGCATAGTATAATAAATAAATATTTTTTTATTATATACATGCATATACATATAAATATATATATATATAATAAATCATTTTTATTATATATAATATTTTTATTTTTATATATAATAGTAAATAATTTTTATAATTCTTATTTTTTTGTATGTAAAATAAAAACACTTTTATATGTATATTTTTATTTTTTATATGTATAATAATAAATAATTTTTATAATTCTTAATTTTTTGTATCTAAATTAAAAAAAATATATTTATATGTATAATTTTTATTTTTTAGAAAAAAGTATGGCTTGTAGTCGAGCTTGAACTTGTGAGCTTTGAACTGAGCCGAGCTCAAGTCTCTATCTCATATCAAGCTCAAATTCAAGCTCAAGCCTAACAGTTTCAATGAGTCGAGCTCAAAACGCCAAAAATTTGGCTCGGCTTTGAATCCACCCCTATTTAGTAGAACACCTCCTATAGTTTTACAGATTTATTTAAACCTTTGCATCTAACTAAAACACCTCTAATAGTTTGCAATCTATTTATTTAATCGACGCTTCATTAAGAATTATTTGTTTTGCCATCTGAAAATAGTAACATAATCACCTAAAGTAATTGGAAAATGTTCAGAGGTATGGACCCACGGTTGTTTATTTCAAAAGTACTCTTAACACTTTTTGTACGGAAACTAAATTTGACCAAATAGAAAAAGATAGAGTGATTGTGCATGTTTTACTAGGGGCAAAAATGGCATTTTATTTTTAGTTTTTTTTGATTAATTTTATTTAAATGGACATCAATGTTAAAACTGTCATTTTCTATTTTCATTTAATGAAATGCCAAAAAATAAATTGATTACAAACTGTAGGGAATGTTTTAGTAAAACACAAACTATATAGAATAGGTTTTAGTAATTAATAAAACTATAAAAAAAAAGAAAAAAACGAACGAACAAACAAACAAACGGCTCGCTTAGGGGTGATTTGGTAAATTTGAGATGTAGATTCTAGGCTCCATGTTTACGGGAAAGTGGAGGAGTATTCAAAAAAAAAAAAAAAATCAAAAGCCGACTTTGCGCTTTCCAAGCAATGCTAGTGGGCTTTAATAGGTCATTTAATACTCTAGCTATTTCTTTCCCAAAAAAGAAAAGAATTCATTCTTTTCCACGCACCATACTTGGTAGAGGAAGTTAAAAAAGGAATTAAGTAGCT